CTTGGCTCTGTGATATGTGATATGAAAAACTAGTTGTGGAAGAAATTGTAGGGATTTGTTCCTTTTGAGTTTACTATCATTTGTATCATTTGATGTAATATTTCCTTCCAGCAAAGAGAAGTTTCCACATGGCAGCATGTCAGAACCATGCAACACATATGGTTTTATCATGACGTTTAAGGAGAATAGAGAAGAGCTGAGATGGCAGGGCCAGTTGTATTTTGACATGAGGCTTTAGTTGGAGCTGCAGTTAGAGACCCCCTCTGTTATTAAATTTTTAGTCAAAACAGTACAAGTTATTCACTTTAGAGAGACCACCTAAACTGTCCCCATCAGATAAACATCACTTAAAGCTGTTTCAACTCCACTCTTGCTTCATATCTAAAAAAAATCCACAGGTGTTTCTGTCCATCCTTCCACTGTTAGAAGACAACTCAATGTTGTGAGTCTGAAAGGATGTGTAGCTGCCAAGAGGCCCTCACTGAGAAAAGGAAATAGATAAAAAAGAACAACAAGTGAAGAACAACAAGTGAAGCTGCTGGTGTTCTGAGGACAATGGACTGGCTACTCCAGAGTCCAGACCTCAGCATCATTGAATGTGAAATTGCTTGAGAAAGAAAAAGGAGCTTGGGAAAGACTGTAACTCTGAATGGGTAGCTTTACAGAGCTGACCTGCCTGTTTTCATTAAAATTTCAGTCATTAGGCAGACCTGGAAAGTCTTTCTGTTGCATCAGTTAATTTACTGTTTTAGACAAGTTCATCACCTTTGATTGGGCAGTACTTTTTCTTCTAATTATAGCAATCTCTACCCTTCCTGCTTATATGATGCTGTTGGCCAAATGCATTTATTTTATCAACATGTGATAAATGAACAGAGTTAATTGCATGCATGATTTTTTAAACAAAACATTGCTGAATGGGTTATTTACAGTGAAGATTAGTTTTTCTTCCATTCTCCATGGTGTAGAACCTGCTGGTGCTTTTAACAAAACTTTTAAACAATAGTTCACTAAAATGTGCTATAGTCATGTAACCTACTTTGGTTCACTTGTATTAAAAGGTTGCTATACAGAATATATATATATTTGTAATCGTTCTTCAAAGAACCATATACAGCAGGTTCTCCATCATTTCACTATGCAAAGAACCATTCAAAAGGATCTTTGCATGCAAATAACACCCCTTGCTGGAGAGACTTCAGACTGCCACACATGCTTTAAATGAGAGAGCTCCAAAACCTAGCCCATGTGCTTTTTACATTTTGAAAGAAATTAAATTATGTTGTTTTTTTTTTTTGGGTATCTAGTCTAAGTGTCTGTGGGGAAACCATGAAGTATTATATTTTCATAATTTTACTCATGCAAACCTTTGGGACACTTAAGCTGCGCAGAAGACGCTGAGAAATCCCTTCAGATGGTTTGTCGCACTCTGAGAAATCCACAGCAGAGACAGTAGAAAATGTACTCCATCATAGAGTAAAGGGAGTAAAACATTACACAAACACACACACACACATCATCTAAATCGCTTATCCTTCTGGGTCGTGGTGGGGTGCTGGAGCCTATCCCAGCTGTCATTGGGCAGAAGGCAGGATACTGGACAGGTCGCCAGTCCATTGCAGGGCTAAAACATTACATGTACTTATTATTTAATGTTATTCAAATTTCCCTGACGATTATCACCTTCATAGCGTTTTCACTGGCTTAGTTATCAATCAATGCCGATATCTGATTATCACCCTATTGCTCAGGCCTACTGACCATTAACGCTGAACGCTTTTGCATTTTCATTTGTAACAGAACTTACTTGGTCAGAATTGGCTGGTATAATTATAAGCCTTGATCACATTACATTCTTTCCTAAAAAGCAGTTTTCTGTCAGTTTTATTTTATTTGTCTTTGTATGTGTGGTGTAGTCATCATTCAGATAGCCCTTGAAAACAGATGGTGAGTTTACAGTGGTGCTTAACTTTTAATGAAAAAATGCCCATTACGGTCAGCCCATCTCCTCATTTTTAGCAGTAATCGACAGCTTGGAAGAGTTGGCTTGCTGCTGTTGAAAAGAGATTAAACAGGAACTTTTACTACCATTCCGCACTCCAAATGTAGTGGTGAAGGAAACTGGGCACCCTTTCTGAAAGTCTGTAAAGTATGACCTGGACAATCAAGAGCAATTCACTTTTATTGGGCATTAAACTTGATCTCTAATGAGAGAATCCAAAATGCCTAAACATGGCAGGTGCATTGGAATTGGCTTTGGAAAAGACCCGCGAGTGTTTTGGATTAGTGGTGTGGTTCTCATTGGCTTTCTGCTTTCATTCTGCCTCGAAAACAATATCTCTCTGGGTAATGTTGCATGTTGATTTATTACTCACCTTAGAAGATAATAACCATTGACTTAAATGGCTCCTTGTCACTGCAAATGAAGCCTGGAATTGCTACTGCTTGAGCTCGAGTCATTTTCCAAAGACTTTGCTATAATGTGCTTTTAAGGCTTTACCTCATTTAAAGTCTGTTGAGCCTGTGAAAGCTAGAGCTTAGCACTGTTGTATTTTTCTTACCTGTCCTTTTTTGTGGTTTCTTTTTTCAGTAATTGAACCAAATGAACTTAAGATATGAGTTAATAATATTTCAGACAAAAGCAGTGACTTGGTTGATAAACTTTGGTGATTTAAGGACAAAAAAAATTCATCCTTGGCAGTTGAATTGCAGGAATGCATTCTGAATGCAATCTGTCTTGATGTGAGAATGACTCATTGAGGGCTTTCAGCTTTCTCTTGATGTCATGATGTCATTGTCACCTAATGTGGCCCTGCTAGACGTTCTTCTAAAAACAATTAATGGGACATGGGTCAAAAATATGTACAGCCCTACAGCAAAAGGTTACAATATGGACAAAATATTAATACTGCTACATTGTTATTGTGATATGCCTTCCAGTATATTAAAAATTCATTAGTGAGTCAGTGGTTTAAGATTGGCCTGCATTATTTTGATTGACTTTTGTGAATGCCTCAATTCATGAAAACAGTCATAGACACTCATTAGGAATGGTGATTTGTCAGGAACTTTGTGACTTTAGTCACAAACATTGTGGTTAGTCAAAAACATCAGTCTGCAGTATGTCTATTGCAAAACCTATTATCACGATAACAATCAATGTCAAATATCAAACAATATATTGTGCAGCCCTGTTATGCTGTAAGTCATTTTTAATGCCCCTAATTTTATAAGGTAAAGAAGATCCATGTTAACGCTGTATAATGTGTGCCATTGATTTGAATTTTCAACCAAAAATAGAGCAGTATCTGTGAACATGATGCTCCGGAAGGCTTTGCTGAGTGAGTTGCGTCCAAGTTCCTGTACTTTGAGTTTATCTGGGCTCAGTATCAGGACCTGAGATGGCGATTCTTTGATGGAAGGCTCTTGAGACAGTTCTGCTGCTGAGATGGAGGAGAAAAGAGATTCTCTCAATCACAAAAGAGACAGATTCTCCCTCTGGCGCTGGATGTATTTGGAGGTGCATCAAATGCTCCACTTCCACACTCTCTTTAGCTAGCCCTGTGCTAGGATTGGTGATGCACTGATTCCATATACTGGATCTGTATCTGCACTGATGCTGATCTCATTAATCTGTTTATGTCCATATCTAAGATCTTACTTTTCCTTTGGTCTGAATGTTCTCTGAGCTTGCCTGAGCACAAATATCACTATATGCCTAAAAGTGAGATTTTATCATATAATCTATCACAGGGAATGTAGTGTTTTGGTCACATGGGGTACTGTTTTTATCAAAGCAACAGAAGTCCAAATTTGTGAAATAGTATAAATGTATGAAAATTATTCAGTACTAAGCAAAAGTCAGAGACTACTATTCATGTATTTCATTTCCAGTTAAAACAGATATTATGTTATTACTTTTTCAGTGTTTAGGAAAAAACAGAAACATATATTTAACAGAAAATTACATTGAAGCACCAACAATTAAATAATAAATAAGAACACCTTTTAGATTGTATTCCCTAATATTTAGTGTGTCCACCAAAGTTCGGTCTTAGAAATTGGCTATATTCTCATCTTTTCTTGATCCAAATAACCTCAAACTTATACAATGATGTTAAAGTATGGACTCCATAGCGTTGAGTTGTCTTCTCACTGTGAATTTTTTTCTCCTGCGATTTTTTCAGATCTGAAGCAAGAATGCCGCTTGATTTTCTCTTGCGTCTCAAGGATGAAAGCTTTAAGCACTCGTTATCTGATGGTGGTCTAGCAGGGCTTTTACCACTGTCTTACTTACGCAAGTAGATGATCTAATATCCAGAAATATCTCTTGAAAATAAATAATTTCCACTTAATAGCCATTTTGACTTGGAATTAAATAGATGAAGGGTGGTTTCTGACTTTTTTTTGTTGTATATAGTCAAAACAATTAAAATTGATACTGTTAGATGTTTTTCTGAGGTGTCTGATCTTACAAACATGTCTTAATACTCAGCGTTTGTATCAGATTAGTACTCAGTATCAGCTGATAACCCTGAGTTCAGAACTCAGAATCAGTTTCAGGAGAGAAAAGTTGAATTGGTGCATTCCTAGTTGGGATACTGTGTAACTCTGGCCCTTGAGAAGAGAAAGTTAAACCCAAGTCAGTATCCGCTGCCTTACTTAAATCTCCACTGTAGGGCAGGAGATGGAAGAGATGCTATCACCAAAAGTGCTTATTAACTCCAACGGTCATGCAGTATAATTGGGACTTCCTTGCTCTGCAGTTTGTCTCTTTATCCATTTGCATATGTGAGTGCAGGGCTTTGCTGTGGCTGCAGTAATTTTTATGACTGGGAAGGAGAGGAAGCGTATCATTATTTGTTATCATTGGGGGCCACAAATTAAATTTTTCCTTCAGTGGAGTGCACAAGGTCTTATATGTTTGTTAAAGGTGATAGATTAGTGAGGTTAGCCATACTGGCTCAACGGCTCTCTCTGCTTCTCTTATTTTTCTCTAGATTTGGGCCAGCAGCTTCCTGCCTAATGAACCGGCCTTGGCTGAGCGCTGTCAGAGAGAGTATTTACAGAAGCACGGAGAACCCATGTTGCTCCAGTATGCTCGCATGGAGGCTCAGGCACAGGTAACAAATCAGCACACATGGGGCCAGTTACATACATTCAGATTCAACCTAATCCTTGACTAAAAACAGTTCACAGTGGTAATTCCTTATTGTCACTGCAATTTAGTCCTAAACTAGGCTTAATCCATGTACGAGAAACCAGCCTATGGAGTTTCTTGGTCATACCTGACATCCCATCAGACACATTTAGAGACTTTGTCTCATTTAAAATCTGCCCCCCCGAGTAGTTGTTATACAAACGTATCCATGTTGGCCATAATAAAATGGATCAACGTGTAGAATTGGGCTCTGTGTGCTACTGTGTTTCCTATCTCTATGTAAAAGAAGCTCCACGCTGCCTTTATTGCTGCCTCACACATTTGCAGTGCAATTCACTTCACTAGGGGCTTAGTTATTATTCAAATGTTTAATCAGAGTAATTATAAAATGCATCTAAAATGTGAAGTATAATCATATATTTACTTGCTCAAAATAGTAGTTTTAGTTAAATATTTTAAGCTTTGTTAGATCATGTTCCCTACATAAAATTAAGGTGACAACAGCTGTGAGAAGCCATGCTATTAAAGATTAGATTAATTTTCTGAAGTAGTTGCTTTTCTTGCCTCAGCATAAAAGCAACTACATTATCTACCTTGAGAATCCTATTCATACATCTGGTCTCAGTCTGCTGATGCTATACAAACTGCAAGAGAAAGCTAGAAAGATGGAAGAACAGGTAATCTCAAACAGATGACCTGTTTGATGATAACATTCAGCCATATTCTGTTGTACTTATTGGAATCTGAATAATATACCTTACTCAAAATTTCCTTTAGAATTTATTAAGTTGATTAGCACCAGTGAAGGAAAAAGGACACGAAAATCATATTTAAGTAAATGTATGAGTACTTAATTGAAATCTTACTCAATTAAAAGTGGAAGTATGACATCAAAAATATACTTAAGTGAAAATAGACAGTACTGTGGAAAAGTGAAGTAAAAGACCACCCTTCATTTATTTAATTTCCATTCAGCTGCTAATAAGTATAAGTTATTCATTTAAAGAAAATATAGTGAAAAAACAGGGGGTTCCAACACTGGAGTTCAAAAAATAAATAGCTAACTTTTGAGACTGAACTTTGGAGGTGTGGAAAAATGTGATGTTATATTTAGTTGCTGAAGCTTCTGTGCAATTTTCTGTTAATATATGTATTTTTCCTGACACTGAAAAATGAATAACTTGTACCTGATGACCATTTTGGTCATTACATAAATAAATTACATAAATAAAGGGTGGTCTCTGACAGCAGAGCTGTATATACTTAACAAATAAAATTACAAGTTTCCTTTTTTTGGTGGTGATTGAAGCAGTGGTGTGTGGTGCAGTGACTAAGAAAAATTTGCATAATGGTGGGCAGTTTCGTTTTACGCTAAAATTAATTTGGTTAGATATTTAAATAAAAAAAAATAAACTAAGGGGAACTCATTGGCTTCTTCAAACACCTATGGCTGGTATGAAGAGAGCATATTGGTTTTGGGCGGCTCTTTCTGGATCAATTCTCTGTATAAACGGAGAGCAGTCTGATCCTAGATCAGCACTGCTACTGTGAGATTATTGCTTAATACAGGCCTAGATTTGATGCCTTCATTTATCATGTGCCGTAAGCAGTCGCCTTGCATTCTTTGCCTTCTTGCTTTATCGTCTCCACTGCAGTCTACAGGGGACTGAGAGGCATTAGCATGTATAGCTGAGCAGATGATGTGATGCTAACGTATGCTAGAGCCTCACCTGGCTCTTGATCATCATAATACACATCCGCTCATGCTGACGGGCTGCAGCATCAGCGGCGAGTAGGCTGAATCCGCTTCTCTCGCTGCTTTGCACAATCTGCTAGTCAAGCATGGGAATCAACAGGAAACACCCAGTGATTAGCATAATGGCAGAGACATTATGCCGGCTTGGTTAAATTGCTTGGAAAATAAAAGAAAAACATACTTCATCAGGATGCAAATAGGCAGGTTGGATTATGAAATGTGTAGATACATGGTGTCTGTAGGACAGCACACAAAATAGTGGTTTCTAGTGTTATTTCAAAATGATACAACTACAACTCAAAAAAGTTGGGATTCTGTGCAAAATGTAAATAAAAACAGAATGCAATTATGTTCATGTCATTTAAACCCTATATTCAATTAAAAAGACAACAAAAAATGTTGAAACTGAGAAATTTTATTGTTTTTTTGAAAAAAAATGTGCCCATTTGATGCCAGCAACACATTTGTGGCACACACTGTAGTTTTGAAAGTTAAATGTTTTCCCATTTTTGCTTGATATAGGATTTCAGCTGCTCAACAGTTTGGGGTCCTCTTTGTCGTATTTTTCGTTTCATAATTCACCAACTGTTTTCAGTGGTGACAGGTCTGGACTGTGGGCAGGCCAGTTTAATACCCAAACTCTTTTACTGCTGAGCCATACTCCAATGCGTGCAGAATGTAGTTTCCCGTTGTCTTGCTGAAATAAGGAAGACCTTCCCTGAAAAAGTCGTCATCTGGATGGTATCATAGGTTGCTCCAAAACCTGTAAATATTGTTCAGCATTAATGGTGCCTTCACAGATGTCACTCATGTCATGTCCACTAATGCACACCATACCATCACGAATGCTGGCTTTTGCACTCACAACAAGCTGGATGGTCCCTTTCTTCTTTAGCCCAAAAGATGCAGCGTCCATGATTTTCAAAAAGAATTTCAAACTTTAATTTGTTTGACCACAGGACACATTTACACTTCGCCGTAGTCCATCTTAAATGAGCTCAGGCCCAGAGAAGGCAGCAGTGTTTCTGAATCCTGTTTATATGTGGCTTTTTGCATGGTAGAGTTTTAACTTGCTTTTGTGGATACAGCGACAAACTTTGTTCACAGACAGTGTTTTTCCATGCAGTAATTTCCCCCAGGGAATCATGTCTGTTTTTAATGCAGTGCTGCCTGAGGGCCTGAAGATCATGGCCAGCCACAATTGTCCTTTGCATACAGAAATTTCTCTGGATTCTCTAAATCGTTTAATGATATTATGTACTGTAGATTATGAAATCCATAAGTTCTTTGCTATTTTATGTTGAGAAATGTTATTCTTAAATTTTTGCACTTGCCCATGCAGTCTTTCACAGTGTGGTGAACCCTCCTCTGTAGTTCTTTATATCTTTACTTCTGAAAGACTCAGCCTCTCTTTTATACCCAGTCATGTTACTGACCTGTTGCCAATTACCCTAATTAGATGTTGTTCCACCAGGTGTTTTTTAGCATAACACAACTTTACCAGCCTTTTGTTGCCCCTGTCCCAACTTTTTTGAAGTGCGTTGCTAGCATCACAGTCAAAATGGGCATATATTTTTCGAAAAACAATACAATTTCTCATTTTCATTTGATATGTTGTAATTATAGGGTTTAAATTATTTGCACATCATCACATTCTGTTTTTATTTTCATTTTGCATCACAGCATGGGATGCCATACCATGGCAAAAAAAATGATCTCCCTTGAAAAAACTGCCCCCCCCCCTTCATTCCATTTAAATGAATGTGTAGATTAATATATGCTGATACAATCATGAAATAAATGATGTGAAATATGTTCACTTCCATCACAAATCAATAAACTACGATAGGGAAAAAATGAACTATGATCGGAAAAAAAAGGTGAAGGACTGATGCTGGCAATATCAGAACCATTAACACTGAATGGTGCCATTTGCAGTCCATGCTGGACAGTGCCTGCCTGTGAACTATAGATAAATTGACCAAAATTGACCAAACTATCAAAAGCAACAGCAATATAGAAAGCTTTAGTTCCTCTTGAAAAAAGATGTAACGCAGCAATATGAGAGCCAGAGGGCTGCAATCACTGAGAAGCTGGAACATACAGCCACTGTTGCTCTCACTGGACACCAGTGATGAAAATGAAAGACTAATTATCATGTGATTTTATCGTAAAAGTTCAAGTTGAATTATTGAAAGTAGTAAATACATCTTTTACAGTCAAATTAGATAAGTGCATTTATTTCAGCCTAAAAGGGAAAAGTTCCCAAAAGATTGAGAGGTTATCCTTTCTCCCATTTTTGAGTGACAAATTATGCCAGATCTTGACATTTTGAAGCGTGCACTGCAGGACTACATATCATATTGCAAGATGTTTTGATTGTGATGTGCCAGAACAAATCCTTTCACAATTTGTTGTGATGTCAGAGTGTGATGCCAGAACAGCTGCTGATCATGGTTAAAGATGGGGTTGCACAATTTTGGCATGTGCACATTTGGCAGATCATGTCAGTATTAAAGGACTTGAGCATTTGAGATTGGTCAGTGTGCTCACATTGCATATAATGGGAATTCCTATGATTTGTTACAGCACTCATTTCCTGAGTGCATTATATTGCGCTCTTGTGTGATATGATGGAGTGAGGCCAATATTGCGATGATGATTAATAAACATGTACTACAACCCTGCTGCCTGTTACGTGCTCCTCTACATCACTATACTCTCTCATTTTAGCTGTCCCCACTTTTGTATTCCATCAGATATTTCTGTTTGCTCTGTCAGTCAAGCATCGTGTCTTCTCCTTAGGCCATCTGCACCCTCTCACTTTCATCTCCATTATGCTGCAACTGCTGTGGAGTGCTTAGAAATTCCAGCTGCTGGCTTCAAAATGATGATGCAGTTTTAAATAAAATGAGTTCAGTTTTCCAGCTGTTTTAAGAGGTTGGCAACATGCGTCTCTTTTACTGCCCTGTTGTGGCTGCGCAGCAGAATTAGATTTTTAGGTAAAAATAAAATAATCCTCCTTTGCAGTAAAATAAAGCTTTGCTGATCATTCAAACACAGTTTTAACAATAAATGGTGTTAAACGCTGGAGTTAATGTAGCTTGTAACTGCTGATTCACCCTTTAACCCTGAAGGTTGGCGCACAGACTGCTGACGCAGACATCAATCTCACTTAGCTAGAAAGATTTAAGATGAAAACATAA